CTGCTGATAAGAAATGTCAGGCTTAATCACTTACATATGCTTAATCAAGTAGATGTTATTTTGGCAGCTAATCTTACCAGTTTGCATTTAGAAAATATAATTGGGAAATGCTTACCTATGGCTTTCTTTAAATAGTATTGATTTGGTCTCTGAAGGCCAGAACTGTATTTCTGTCTATATTGATAGAAATGTCATACTAATTCTACATGCTTTGTGCTGATTCTTTGTCTCATATTTCACCACCTCAATAATACTTTCTTGCCATCCTTTGGGAATTGTTTTGCTCACTCCATCTTGTTGCTCTCAGCAGCTAGCAGGTGCAATGCTTAAGCTGGCAGCTCCCAAGCTTGAGAGGACTGGGCATAAATGGAGTCTTTTAGCCCAGAAATGTTTGCCCTCTGCTCCAGCACACTTGCTACCTAAATTCTGGGCAGAATGGTCTACAGGCTCAGCCACTTGATATGGTTTGAAGAAGTATCTGCTTTTGCAAAAGCACAAGATGCTGAGTTTCTTGTAGTTAGAGAGGCTGTTGAGTTAGGCAGCTGAAGTGTAGACTTGTACTGCCATGACTGGTGGAATAATTCAGTGTTTCCTGATGGAAAAGCAGGGTAGGAAAGCATTTAAAGCTTTATGACAGGTTATGATGCCTTTTAATACACTTCTAGAGGTAGCATGCTTCAAGAAGTCTCTCAGGTATTGACAAATCATTAGTTCCAGCTGTCTCTAACTGCAACACACTCTTCATCTGAAGATAAGTTGGTAACTGGCTGTGAGCTGGTTTTAAAATGTCTTGCAGTTTGTCTTAGATGGCTTTATTTTGCCCATTTTTGAAAACTTCTGAAACTGCAGTAGTGGTACACATTAACTGTTACAAGTTGAAGTTTTTATTTATCAGTACATTTCCCCACAAGTGTTGAGATGTGTTTGCTTTGAAAATTAAGCACAGCCTTTTTTGCCTGGAACACCTCAGTAAATAAACTTAAACCTTGGCAAAAGCTACAAATGCTACTTGTGGAGCAACTAATTTTATATCTTGCTGTTGAGGTCCCAACTAGCCTGTATACATGTCTGTTTTTTCTCCTCCCTAGGAGTTTACATCCTTATTGGAGCTGGCGCACTTATGATGCTGGTTGGTTTTTTGGGATGCTGTGGTGCATTGCAGGAATCTCAATGTATGCTTGGCCTGGTAAGTGTTCAGAGTAGTGTTTAAATTTTTAGCAGCGTGATGAGAAAGGAAGGAAAATATTACTATGCAGTTAAAGGGCAGCAGATGCTGATTGTTTTGGCTCCACAATGTTTAAACTCATGGTCACATACATAATGCTAAAATGTTAAATATAGTTTCCATTTCTGGCCCTAAATCCAAGCGTCCATGTTGTATTTCAGTACAGGGTGACTTCGGGAGTTAGTGACATATTCAGACTTTGAAGTATCAAGACTGGGAGTATGTGTTAACACAGAACTAAATCTTGATAAGAGTAATGCTATTTATTAAACAGCTTGCCCTGAACTCTGAAGGCTGTGCAATCTTCAGTCTTTGAGACCAGAACTGTGGTATTTGATCCTTGCAACAACAAGCCTCTACTGTTCATAATCACAGGATGAGCTCTTCTAGTTGACAACTGCTCTGCAAGCCAATTATTGGAGAGCAACCCCTTTGTTTTCAGACTGGAGGGGCCAGTAGAGCTTACTGGGTTCACGCACATCTGTACACTTGTGGAACTACTCATCCAAATAACCAGAAGACTTAGTTAATAAAAGACTGCTACTATTAGCTGGTGAAAGAACAATTCCCCTTCTATGTTATGGAAGACTTTAATTTCACATATTTCTTGCAAAATGATGCCTCCAGCTCTTTGTTGTAATTCTGAATATCTCTCTTTAAAGTGCCTTTAAATTGTACTAGAGTTTTGGACCTGGTAGTCAATTAAACAGAGATGACACTTTTATTTCTATTTTATGGGATACACAACAAAAGTGACCTTTAGCTCTCTGGGAGTTAGTGGCCAGCTAGGTATTAAGTAATGACTCCTACAGCAAGAGGAGTTACAAACCAGAGAAAAGAACTGGTGCTAGCTGTTGCGATGTGTCTTGAGTGACCTGGGCAATTTCAAGGTCTGAGTTAACAGATGATTGGGTTTAATTAACACTGATCAAAAAGGAGGACTTCTGCTTGGAAAACACTGCCAGGCTTTCTGACGCTCCTGGGAAGAAGTGCTGACCCAGTGCAGTGTGTCCTTTTTCCTAGTCTTACCAGCGTTCCAGACCTCCAGCAGGAACCTGGTTGAGTGACAGTTCCCACAAGGCTTGATGCTGGGGACTGGACAAGCTTGTAGTACATGTGTGATGCTGTTTTGTGGTGCTGTAGTCTTAATGATGTGGTCTTTCTTTTCTAGTTCTTCCTCTTCCTTTTTGTGATTTTTGCCCTTGAAATTGCTGCTGCAATCTGGGGATTTGCAAATAAAGAAAAGGTAGGTTGCTTTTAAAAGTTGGCAGGGTGGTGGGATGCTGGAACAGGTTGCCCAGAGAAGTTGTGAATGCCCCATCATTGGAAGTGTTCAAAGTCAGGTTGGACAGGGCTTTGAGCAGCCTGACCTAGTGAAAGATAGAATCATAGAATCATTAAGATTGGAAAAGACTTCTGAGATAGAGTCCAACTGTTAACCCAACTGCCAGGTCCACCTCTAAACTATGTCCCTAAGCACGACATCCACATGTTTTTTTGAACACTTCCAGGGACTGATTGCACCGCTTCCCTGGGCAGTCTGTTCCAATGCCTAGCCACTTTCTCCATGAAGAAATTCTTCCTAATATCTAATTTAAATCTCCCCTGGCACAACTTCAGGCCATTTCCTCTTGTCCTGTTGCTTGTTACTAGGGAGAAGAGACTGACCCCCACCTTGCTACAACCTCCTTTCAGGGAGTTGTACAGAGCAATAAGGTCTCCCCTCAGCCTCCTCTTCTCCAGACTAAACCACCCCAGTTCTCTCAGGTGCTCCTCATAGGACTTGTGCTCTAGACCCTTCACCAACTTCGTTGCCCTCCTCTGGACACGCTCCAGCACCTCGATGTCCTTCTTGTAGTGAGGGGCCCAAAACTGAACACAGTACTCGAGGTGCGGCCTCACCAGTGCCAAGCACAGGGGCACTATCACCTCCCTAGTACTGCTGGCCACGCTATTCCTGATACAAGCCAGGATGCCATTGGCCCTCTTGGCCACCTGAGCACACTGCTGGCTCATGTTCAGCTGGCTGTCAAGCAGCACCCCCAGGTCCTTTTCCACTGCACAGCTTTCCAGATGCTCTTCCCCCAGCCTGTAGCGTTGGATGGGGTTGTTGTGACCGAAGTGCAGGACCTGGCATGTAGCCTTGTTGAACCTCAAACAGTTGGCCTCAGCCTATCGATCCAGCCTGTCTAGTTCCTTCTGTAGAGACTTCCTGCCTTCAGGCAGATCAACACTCCTGCCCCACTTGGTGTCAGGACAGATGTCCCTGCCCATGGCAGGGGGGTTGGACTAGATGATCTTTAAAGGTCCCTTCTGACCCAAACCATTCTGGGATTCTATGACTGTGCCTGCAGAAAGTTAGCAGTCTACTGAAATCTGTACCAGTACCAGTCAAATCCTGATTACCCAGCAAATTTGGGGGAGAGGAAGAAGATGCATTCTAACAAAACAATGCAAGAAATTAAACTGTAATATTTAAAAATGAGACTGTAGCAGAGAAGCCAGAATCAAGATGCTGTTGCATGTTGGAGATGCCCTCCAGCCAGTACCTGGCTGAGCTGTGAAGCGAAGTGGGCCACCAGTGAAGCTTTACCATTTCTAGATAGGAGCTGGGTAAGCTATGGGCTGAATGCTTCTGCATCTAAAACATGACTGATCTGGGCTGTCCCCTCACAAGCAGTCAAGATTTGGTCTTGTTTGAAAATAAGGTGCTTGTTAATCAGGGTTGCTTTTCTGCTTGTATTATACACCAGGGTAATATAGCAACTTCTGGGGTACAGAAACGAATACGGAATATTTTTGTGTAACTGATGGGCAAAGACTTGGTTCTCACTCCTCCTAGAAGCTCAGAGCTTTGGAAGGGAAACTGAATCTTATCTGTTTAGGAGTGGCTTTTAAGGTGAGTGTACCAGTTAAGCTCACCCATTCAGGTGAGAAATGCTGTCCACCCTCTGTTTCCACCCTCTATTTCTACATGTCAAAAGGATGGGTATCGTAGGTTGCAGAATTTTTAACGACTGGCTTATGCAAAATAAGTTTTCCATAATTAATATTAAGGTAACACAGTAATACACTTCAACTCTGCTGTCCTGTAGGTTACTGAAGAGTTAAAGGAATTCTACATGGAAACCTATAGAAAGAGATCTCAACCAGCTGCCAGAGACACCCTGAAAGCATTTCAGTTTGCTGTAAGTACATGGTTATATGTAAACTAGACAGTACTGCAGCTTGTTCATGCTGTTCTCAATGTCATCCAGTCCCCAGTACAAGCCTAGTATCTTACTAACTAGAAGAAACCAAAGGAGTATTAGTAACAAATTGCAGAGAAGATCTTTTTTGCATAGTATCAGTGAATTCAGTATCCCTTTTTGTCCCTCAGCCTCTGAAATGCATAGAACTAGTTCTTGTTTTCCTAAACAAACTTGGAAGCGAGCTGGAAAACTCTAGATCTGTAGTATTGATCTAGAGGTACCATAGTATGCATACCTGCATTTTTGAGGAGTTCATTGTTGTGTCTGTAAGAAATACAAGCTGTCACCAAAATTAGTGGGTGACTGCTTAATGAGATCTAGCTCTTCCTTTCAGAATCTTGTCCTTTAATGCAATAAAGGCTTTTTAAAATTATGTTTATAGCAGTCACACTGGCAGAACTTCTAACCAAATTTGCATAAGGTCTGTAATAAAACCTAATGTAATCTATTTCTCCTTTTTACCAAACACAGAGCAAAAATAAGGATTATTTAACCTGACTTTCTTTTCCTGTGTTCTCTTGTAGCTAGACTGCTGTGGTGTTACAGGAATTCTTGAGCAGCAGTTCATGGACACCTGTCCAAAGAAGAGCATGGTTGAGTCGCTTTCTGTAGTGGTAAAGCATGACTTAATTCACCAACAACTCTGCCCAATGAGTAGAATGAGAAACATGTTTCTGAATAAACCCTTCCACTCCATGGGAAATTCCCATGTCACACTACTTAGCAACCTATCTCTATCATCAATCTGGTTGTGGAAAATCAATGTACTGTTACTGTGGTAATCTGAACTTTACAGGAAATGTGCAGTCTGTGTCACTAGACTCACTGGCGTGGTGGACAGCGTAAGGCCAAAACTTCACCTGAAAAAATGCTAGAGTGCTCTGTTCTCCTGGCTCCTCCTATTGCCAGGGCACATTCCTGGTGCTGCACAAGAGCTGTTGCGTCCCCTCTTGGTTAGGGAGAAGTAGAGCATGGGGTGGGAGCAAGTCTGAAGTTTTAGCAAGGAAAAGGAGAGGCGGGTAATGCATTGGTGGCCTGTTTAGGTGAGTGTAACTGTGAAGCTAATTCTCTGAATCGATACCCTTGTTGAAGTGTTGCTGCAAAGGTGCCTGTATGCCACAGAGAAGAGGCATCTTGTATAGTTCTTAACTACCCCTTTTTCCTCTTTTTCTTACAGCTGTCTTGTGCTCTTGCTTCATGCTCCAAGACAGCCTGCAAGAGTCTTCCCATAGAAAATAATGTGGGAATTCAATTAATGAGTTCATTTTTTTTTTCACATTACTTGTGCCTTCAAATATCTGACCACATGAGACATTTCAATCTTTATTTAGACTGTATCTTTAGTCCCGTCCATACAATCTGAGTTAGACTGTATGGGAATAGCTGAGACAGCATGCAGGTTTTATTGTTTGCTTTTGTTCTGCTAAGCATGTTTTAGCTTCATCTGTTGACTTCATCTTCTGATATGTTTATGGCCTAGTCCCAGCTGTAGAAAAACAGTAGATAGACTACAAGATGAAAGGGATATAATGGTGTGGCTGATCTGTTTAATCCTTGATTCAGTCTTTCCTTCTGGGCTACATAAGGAACAACTAAAGAAAGTTTTCAGCAGCTCACTGTAGTCTGCTGCTGGAATAAGTAGGACAGGAGCTGGGATGAGACTTTGACCAGCTACCAGGCTCTTAAAGATTTATACCTCTGTAAAAGTTCCTTGTTCTTTTTCTCAGCTACATGTGTCTTTGCTGGGGAAAGGACTGTACTTAAATTTTTCTTTAGTTGCAATGGTAATTCATTGTCCTGGGAGCTTCAAACTGGCACCTCTATGAATCTACCCAGAGCCTAGCTTGTATGCATGCAGCTCAAGAAATCGTGCTATTCCCATGCACCATGTGTTCATAAGGTGTCTGCAAAATTACAATAGCAAGTGGAAATATCAAGAGTAGCTTCAAATCTGTTTTGAGAAGGGCTGAGCAATACAGCAACTTAAAGGCTGACAGCCATTAGTAACAAGCCAAGCGTGGTACAACTGCTGTTTGTCCTGATCTACCTGATCAACTGCAGGTGTTCAGAAAGGAATCCTGCTGTAGCCAAGGTGCAGTTAAGAGGTTTAGGTACTTGAAGAGTAGACTTAAACTTCTCCACCAACTTTTGTGTTGGAACATCCCTGCATCCCTGGCTCTTTAAAGATGTGAAAATGAAGGCCAGTTCAAAGCAGCTTTCAAAAGATGAGTCTTCATCTCTAGTGCAAGCAGACTTGGTCAAAGGTGTAGCAGTTGGCAGATTTGAGCTCAAACAAGCAAGCAGAAACAAACCTTTCATATGTATGAAATGCTAATGAACAGTCTGCTTCTTTTCAGTCATGCCCTGCTGCCATTGATGATGTCTTCAATTCAAAATTGAATGTGATTGGAGCAGTTGGCCTTGGCATTGCTGTAATAATGGTGAGTTTCCAGATGTAGAGGGTGGCTGTATGGCCAAGGGGTGCTTACAGCAAAAGTCTGAATAGTGCCTGGTATGGCAGTCTACGAGCCCATTCCACTAATGACAGGTACCAGCAGGATCAGGGTGTGTGCTGTGGGGCCCTGAGGCAGCGCAGAGGGTGGGGTGTCTTGGACCTCCCTGCTTCTGCTTTGGATTAGGATCTGCCGCCTTGTAGTTTTAGCAGTGGTGAAGTTGTATTGGTAGCGTGATATATAGGGTGAAGACGTATTGGTCATGTTGGCAGCCCACTTCTTAATCCTAATATCTCTTGGGGATCCTTACTTTTGTTTCCTTTATAAAAATTACAGACTGTGCTAGGGAACTGAAATAACAGTGCTAGTAAGAAAATTCACACTTTTTTGACTTCTCTGGTAGAAAGTATGACATGAATGCAAATATGCTGGGATGATCAAAGATTTATTAGGAGATATGGCAGTGGTTTATAGCTGATATGTTTTGAAGTATTGAGGGTAAAAGGGATTCATGAGAATGGGCTGAAATTTGGGGGTGGAGGGGAAGGGAGGGCAGGGACACAAACTGCAGAATAAAGCCTTAATGTGGCCTCTGGGCCAGGAGGAGCAGGTGTGCTTGTCCCCATGTTGATAGAATGTGCTTTGATCGTCCGATTTCTAACGCATTTGCTTTCTTTACAGATTTTCGGCATGATATTCAGTATGGTTCTCTGCTGTGCTATTCGCAAAAACAGAGAAATGGTCTAAGAATAAAACACCCAAGACTGCTGCACTATAAAATCTTTGTCATTAACTTTAGCATTCTGAAAGCGTTTCTAAAAAGTTATATATTTGTTACCTTTTTAATGCTTTATTAGCTACTGATGTAGGTTTGCTTTTTGTTATAGGTTAAAATGATAAAGGTATATCTGACTCAAGACAAATATTGTACATAAAATATCTGACTCTTGAAACTTATGTAATTTGGATGTAATTTATGTTGGAGACAATTTGATACTTAATAATAAAGAGTAAAATGTATTGTATCTTTGTTGGGGAGAGAAGATTTTACTATGCTTATTAATCTTGCTGTCTGATGCATAGCATGGAGTTCAACTTGCATAACATGTTAAGTGTTAAATCACTAGGGCTTTAGTATCAAGCAGGAAGTAACTCCTGTGCCAATGCCATATTTGAGGGGAATTCCAAGGAATGGAGAAGATGACTGCCAGAGCATGTTAGGGAAGGTATCGTCATTCCTCCTTTCCTTGGTGTGTGTGAACAAAAGCAGTTCTTAATTATATTCCTAAAATGTTACAGCAGTAACATTTTTACTGTTGTCTTCATACAGGGTGGCAAAGGATGATTGTCATGTGTGTGTGTGTATATATATACACACACACTGTGGACAGTGGTACTTTGATGCAAACAGGCTGGGCTCTACCCTGGAGCCAGCTGGGCTTTCTTATGTCAGCCTGTCTGCTGACATAACTCTCTCCCCTGGCATCTGACATGGCCTTGGTCCTTTGACATGGCAGATTTCCATAGTGTATGTTCAGGATTTTTTTCAGTGGCTGGCTCTGTGCTTTGTTTCTCCAAAGCCAGTTAAGTACAATCTCAAGGGCTTATGGCATGTGTGCCAAATCTCAGGTTTCCAAGTGGGGAAAAAAAACAAGTTGCGTGAGAAGTTACTGTACAGCTCTGCAGTTGCTGCTTGCAGCAGCTAGAGCTCTGGCTATCCTGTTTCAGTTTAAAAATGGATGTGGGAGGGAGCAGAGATACTAGTGTGGAACCCTTAGCCTAAAGAATTACCGATTTGTCCTGTACTTCTACTCTAAATGGCTTTTTAAAGTTGGGTTTTTTTCTCTAAAATATCTTCTGGTGGGGGCTGCCTATGGATTTGGATCCTTGCAGCAAGTTGATGTGCTATACCTGTATCTGGTGCTTCCCTACTGTAGTATGTCAGCTGTGTTCCTAGGAGCTTCTGGTCTTTGTCCTCTAGGTACTACAAATGTCTCTTAATAGTCCTTGCTTGTTCCCACCTTTCTCTTGCAAGGAGGTTGGTATTTATTATGAGAAATACCGGAATTGTTAGGGTCAGGCTCTGGCTGTAGCTCTGGACTGATGTATGAATGTATTGCCCACCTTCGTTACACCTTGTCCAAGGGGTTATGCAAACCATACAGCTCTCCTCTGTAATATGTTGCACTGTTCTGTGTTGATGGGGCCTTCTTAAAAAAAAAGTCTGGATTTCAAAAAAGGCAAATGGTAATGATGCTTTTGTGTGTTTTACAGAGACTGGAATGACTCCAGAAAAGAGTTGATCTAATTTTCCTTCTTGAATATATGAGAGACTGGAGGGGAAAAAAACTCTAATCTCTTATGGGAATTTGAGACCTACCATGTCCCTGAGCTCTTGCAGAACTGAGAAGGAGCATTTTTGTCAGCTGTGCAATTCTGGGCATGAGACTGAACTTGGCACCTGAAAGAGCTGGGGTGAATTGCTGTCAACCATAGTGAAAGTTTACTGCTGACTTCAACTGCCCTTGGTTTTATTGCTCCATGTTGGTGCAAGTGTTCAGGCTGCCAACATCCAACATGGTTGTAGTCCAACACTAGCATAGTTTGTCAATGTCCAAGAAAATGCAGCGGGTTGTAAGTAGGGTGATGAGAACTAAGCTGTAGGCTTGGCACCTCAGCTCATGAGATGGATTTGGGTGGCAGCTATTGGCATCCAGGTCAACTGAATATCCAGAAGACTTAAGTTTATACCTTCCACTGTTGCTGCCTTCTACAGAAGCTGGATGGGGGCTTCCTGTGAGGTAGTCCTTACCTTGCAATGCTGCTGCCTTAACCACAGTGTTTACTGCAGCCCTTCAAGCCTGAGATGCCTGCTCCCTTCCCCCATATTTTAAGTCCTACTACCTGGCCTTTAGCCCTTTTTGAACATCCTATGTATGTAGGTCAGTGTTTTCTGAGTAATCAACAGATGGGTAAGTTGTCTTTTATCACAGAAGAAAGAGCTACTGTTTATTACTTGAATATTACTTTCCTTTTAGCAGGAACATGAACTACAGCCGTAAAACCTGGTTGCAGTCATCCAAAGATCTGCAAGCTAGCCTGGAATGAATACTTCTCAGTAATGAATACTCATGAGCTGAATGATGAAAAGTGGTTGTTTTTTTTTTTTTTACTTTAAAAGTAGGAATTGCAACTGAATTTCCTGAAGACTTCAGTTCTAAGATGGCAATCCTTAAAATCTGTGTTTGTAGCACTGACTGCCCAAGCAGGGAGTGGGTTCCCATCTTCAGGTTAAGTCAGGATTGTCTCAAGGAAGCTGGAGTAGAATGTGACTTGAAGTAATATGTAGAGGGTCAGGTGAACAAAAGGGATAATAGATTTTTTTTTTCTGGGAAGCGGGAATGGAGGAGTTACAATACTGAATGGGAAACATTCTGTTTGTCTCACAGACCGAGATTTTTTCCATGCGTGTGCTGTGGCAGAAGTGACTCACACTGGTGTAATGCTTGTGAAGGGAGGGAGAGCAAAGTGAGTCAGGGCACGGCAAGGATCCCTGTTAGGAAGAAGTCTGTCCTGGTTCAGTGGGTCAGCAGAGAAGCAAGTACTGATGCTTGGAAAAAATTAGGAGTAGGAAAAAATTATCCTACAGGTGGGATGTAATGCCTATTGGGAGGAATAGATAAGGTGAAGGAAAACATAGAGAAGACTAAGAAGTATTTTACTCCTCTATGCCATCCTAGCTTCCCCATCAGTAAACAGAAAGGTGTAACTATGTTAAGACCTTAAAGCCTACCTGGAATGTGAGAAACCAGAAGGGAAAAGGGCTTAAGCAGCTTTGTTTCCAGATACAAGCAGATTTCATTTAACACAGGTGCTGCTAATCTTTTGCCCTAAATTTCTTAAGGTAGCTATGGTTTGTGGCCAAATGTGACAGTATGTATTGTATGCCTATGGGAATTGCTTGTAGATAGCAAAGAGCTGTGGGATCAGAGCAGTGCTGGCCTAGACGCTTGCTTGGATTGGGATAGTAAAAAGAGATAACTAGTAATGAGAATAAGTCCTATGTTAGGCACTAACATAAAACATTGCCTGCAATGCTGTTAAATGGATAACATTATGCAAAGTTTTCATGAGCTGTTGAAACACATGTGGCAAAGTAGCAGAGCACAGGTTGCTGCTGGGTTTTGGCTTGTATAGATGGGGAAGCATTGGTGGCCTCTGCACTGTATTGCTCTGCTGTCAGCTCTGCCCCTTGTCTGCTGCTGTGAGGAAAACAAGTGAAGATAAAGCCAAACCGCTAAAGGATATGGCTATTTATATGTTGTAAGCTAGCCAAGGGCAGTGGGGAAAAATAATGGAGCGCATGCAGAATATGGGAATTTCCACCAGGAAACAGTATATCTGCTGTTGCAAGCTTAAGAAAAAAATGTTTGACTAAGGGGCAAGGACTTTACAAAGTCCTGAGGAAGGCTGGATTTGGCAATCTAGCAGGTAATTATGCCAGAAGAAAGATCATCAGACTTACTTTAGAAAATCAGAGCTAGCCTGCCTCAGGAACAGAGAGAGTTTTAAGCTAGCTGCACTGTCAGCAATGTCAGAAGAAGGTGCACCAAGGCAGGGAGGGTCTGGTTTTCCACAGGGACAGGGTTTATTGCTGGAAAACAGTTTCATCTGTTACAGTGGAGCTGGGAAAGTCTACTGTGGTACAGCACATTGTCATTTTACAGGAATCCTAGCACACCAGCACCATAATTGAGTACAAGGAAAGAAATGACAGCAGGTCCATGAAATGTGGAAATGGTGTGGGATGTGGGAAGAATCTGGCAATAATGGAAAGAAAGGTGTAAGCCTAACACCTTTGGGGTGGGAGTAAATTCTACTTTAAAAATTTAAATCCATCATACCACATTCTAACTATGTTTCAGCAATTAATAGGCTTACTCATAAAGGGTGTAGAGAAGATGTATTTGCAGAAGGGGAGGATGTAGTTACCTGCAGGGTGACTTCAGAAGGAGCTCCTAAAGGAATTGCTCCAGTAGACAGAAAAGCCTGGATTTATTTTGACAGGCTATCCCAGTCAGGACTATACTTCACTCCCTCCACCCTTCAGGAGAAAAGAATATAAAGTGTTTGCAGACAGCTTTTAGGAGCCACCTGTATATCTCCACTATTCTTGGTTTTGTTTTTTTTTTTTTTTAGATGAATCTGAGTCCAACCAAACTTTGCAGGAGATAAGTTCAGAGAAATTGCTCTGGAGGAGAGGAAAAAAAAAAAGTGCTGGGGACTAAACTCCCAGTGATAAATGTGAGTCTGATACAGTTTCTATGGGGGATGTGCGGTGAAGTTCAAGCTGAGCCTTGCCCTGTTTTCTTACAAGCTCTGAAGGGAGGCACTTGCAAGCCTTAGCAGAGAGCTAAGGCAGCTCTCCAGCTGTAGGCAATGGTATGAGCAATGCAGGGGCTCTTTCTAAATACTGCAGTGCCTTTTTTCATCATGTTTTGGTTTTTTTTTCACTACCAGCCTGCTGCTGGCAACAGGCTGATAACATGGAGGCAGGTGAGGGTCTGAGCAGCCTGGGAAGACAGGGGTGTGCTGTGTAGAAGTGGAAGCAGTGTGAGGAGCCAGGTGCTTTGCTGTGGAGTAAAGTCGTCCCTGCAGCCACTGCTGCTGCCCAGGAGGGACACCCCATGAGCTGCTGTCATGGGTGAGCACTGCTGCTCCAACTAAGGAGCACAAGCACTAACTTAGCACAGCCCCAGCTGGGTTTTGTTTGGTTTCTATGTTTAGAGGGTGGTTTAAGCCCATGGCCACTGTATAATTATGATTATAAAATAGCCACCTCTTCATTTTCTGCCTGTTGGCAGCTCTGAGAAAATGACCTAATTTGAACTGCCAGCACTGAGAACCTTGAACCCTATCAAAAGTTACTTTTAAATGAACCTAGAACATCTAGACAGTTGGTAGCCTTTGCTGGCAATGATAAAAATAGGTTAGCGAGATTTTTTTTTTCCACTGCTGG